CGACCCCCCCCCCTTCCCGAAATCCCGAATCCTTGTCCTTTCCGCTGCTCTAAAATGGCGCCCAGGGCCCTTCCTCCCCCCTCCTCCTCCTCGTCCCCGCGCGCCGCCTGTTGCAACAGCCGCTGGCGGAACCCCTCCCACCGCGGCCGCCTGTCGGCGGCCTCCTCGGCCCGCAGCGCCCGTTTCGCCCTTTTCCCCCCCAAAACGGGCGCCTCCGCCCCCCCCGCGAGCGCTTAACGGAGCCTCTCGTTTGTCGTGGCAGGTGGCGACGCCGCGGACCCAAATCCCCCCAAAGGCTCCGGCCAGCCGCTCTCTTGCGGGTCTCGGCTGCCCGCCGCCTGTTTTCCGCCTGTTTCCGCCTGTTTTCCGCTGGCTCCGGTGCTTTGGGTGCGGGGTGCCTGGTGCTTCCTTAGGGAAATGCCCAAAATGGCCGTTTGGCCCCAAAACGCGGCCCGCAGGGCGTCTCGGCGAGCCCCACATTGCTGCGTTTTAGCCCCAAATCCGGCCCGGAGCGGCGCCCGCCGGCTCCCCATTTCTCCCCATTTTCACCCAATTTGGGGTGCGATCACTTGGGGAGCTGAAAAACGTGCACGGATTTGGGGGAAAAACAGGAAAAAGCCAAAGTGGGGGGGGGGCAGGAGCCTGTGGGGCCTGTGGCCCCTTTTGGGGCAAAAAAAGGGGAAAACGGGAGCAGGAAGTGCGGCCTGCCCGGACCCGCCGTTTGGGTGGGAAAAGGGCAAATGTCCCAATGGGGGGGGGCGGGTTACAGTGTTGCCCCCCCCCCCGTTACGGTGTTGTCCTTTGTGGGCCCTTGTCAGCCCCGCGCGGTTGTACCGCCGCCGGCGGTACTTCACGGCTTGTCGCTTGTCATCTCCGCGCGCAAAAAGCTCCGAAACGGCCCCAAAATGGGCTTTGGCTCTAAAAAACAGTAGTTCTGGTTGGGGGGGGCTGCAGGATTCTGTCTGGGTGGGGGGGGGGCACCCGTTTTGGGGCAATCAGCACCGTTTCGGGGCAGTTAGTGCCATTTTGGGGCAGTTAGTGCCATTTCGGGGCAGTTAGTTCCATTTTGGGGCAGTTAGTGCCATTTCGGGGCAGTTAGCACCGTTTTGGGGCAGTTGACGCCATTTTGGGGCGGTTGGCGCCGTTTTGGGGCAGTTGACGCCGTTTTGGGGCGGCAGGCGCCGTTTTGGGGCAGTTGGCGCCATTTTGGGGCGGTTGGTGCCATTTTGGGGCGGTTGGCGCCATTTTGGGGCAGTTGGCGCCGTTTTGGGGCGGTTGGCGCCATTTTGGGGCAGTTGGCGCCGTTTTGGGGCGGCAGGCGCCGTTTTGGGGCGGTTGGCGCCGTTTTGGGGCTGTCGGCGCCGTTTTCGGGCTGTCAGCGCCGTTTTCAGGTAGTCCGCACCGTTTTGGGGCAGCGGGCGCCATTTTGGGGCAGCGGGCGCCGTTTTGGGGCGGTCGACACCGTTTTGGGCCGTTGGGGCCGCTCTAACTGCCGCTTGTGTCTTTGCAGAGCCGCCGCTCCGGTTGTCCCCGCGCCCGGACACAGGTTTCAGCACAGGCGGCGCCGCCTGTCTCCTTCCGAGGGTCCCGCGGGGACAGCGCCGCTGCAGCCCCCCCCTCGCCGCCGCTTTTGGGTAGATTTGAGGGCCTTTTGGGGCCGGCGCCGCCTGCGTTGGCCGTTTCGGCCCATTTTTGCCCCAAAAGCGGCTCCGCCCGGGGCTCCGGCCTGTAGCCACCCCGGACGGGGCCTGTCCGTGCCCGGGATCCCGCAGGATTGGGGGAGCCTGCGGTTCCGCACGGAGCAATGCCCGGCGTGGGGCGCCCGCCTCCGGGGCTTTATTGTGCCCCCATTCCGGGTGTTTATTGTGCCCCCATTCCGGGTGTTTATTGTGCCCCCATTCCGGGTGTTTATTGTGCCCCCATTCCGGGTGTTTATTGTGCCCCCCATTCCGGGTGTTTATTGTGCCATTGGCTCCGGGTGTCTATTCTGCCCCCGTGCTCCGGGTGTTTATTGTGCCCCCTCCTGCTCCGGTTGTTTATTGTGCCATTGGCTCCGGGTGTTTATTGTGCCCTGGCTCCGAGTGTTTATCATGACCCTGGGTCCAGGTGTTTATTGTGCCGTTGGCTCCGGGTGTTCCTTGTACCCCCGGCTCCGGGTGTTTATCATGACCCCGGCTCCGGGTGTTCCTTGTACCCCCGCTCCGGGTGTTCATTGTGCCCCCCCTCCAGGTGTTCCTTGCACCCCCCGATCCGGGTGTTTATTGCCCCCCCACCCGGGACCACCCACACACTGGGGGGGGGCACAATTGGGGGGGGCAGTGCCTGTTTGGGGGGGTCGCTCCGCCCGGCTCTG